AGCCACCCTATTCCACCTCAGCTGGTAAGGAATGTCTGGCTACTCAAACTGTCATCATTCTGCACACATCCACAACTGACAGAAAAAACTTGCTTGGGATCAGTACAGCTCTGGCCATTGCAGCCATTTGGAGTGAACCAGGAGATGGAATACCTCTCTCCCTCTCTCTCTCTCTGTCTCTCTTTAACTCTGCCTTTCAAATACATAAATAAATAAATCTTTTTAAAAAAAGGTAGTAAATTTTAAAAAAAAGTGGTGATAATGTGCAACATGGGCAATCACACATCAAATCAATATTCTCACTGGCAGTGTCAATGGTACAACCTACAAAAAGGCAATCTCACAATTCCTTAGTCTAAGGAAACCATTCAAAACATATAAAATGCTAAATTAAATTAATGCAGAGTTGCATTGCAAAGCTATTCCTGACAGACATTAACTACAAATGGAACTAAAAGACCCAGTAATAGGTAGCTAACAAAAAAAAGTGTGGTATGTTCAATTATTAAACATTAAGCCATTAGGAATGGTAATCATTATGACACAGCAGCAATATAAAATTTTGTATGTGAGGATCACATGTGTGTGTGTCCATAACTATTTAAAACACTAAAAGAAAAAGAACAGAGGAAATCAATAAACATTAATGAGTAGTAAGATAGAAATAAGCCTGTAATTCTTTCTAAAATGGTAGAAAAGTTTATAACTTATACAAACAGAAAAATACATATATATACATTGTACAAATGCAAGTGTACATTCACACATGTAAAAATAAGTACATGGTTCTTTAGTAAGAAAAAGCACTCTGAAAGAAATGGACATAAGGCCATAATACAATGAAGAAAAACTGATGAAATATAAACATATAATTTGTTATTACTCTAAGTTTAAAAACCTTTCTGGGGACTGGCACTGTGGCACAGCAGGTAAAGCCGACACCTGCGGTGCCGGCCTCCCATATGGGCCCGATTCAAGATCCAGCTGCCCCTCTTCTGATCCAGCTCTCTGCTATGGCCTGGGAAAGCAGTGGAAGATGGCTCAAGTCCTGGAGCCCCTGCACCCACGTGGGAGACCCAAAAAAAGCTCCTGGCTCCTAACTTCGGATTGGCCCAATTCCAGGCACTGCAGCCATTTGGAGAGTGAACCAGCATATGGAAGACCTCTGTCTCTCTTTTTTTTCCCTCTGCCTCTCTGTAAAATAAATCAATCTTTTAAAAAATAAACTTTCTGGGAATAAAACCTCTTCCCTTACAGCCTCTTTATAAATCAATACAACTCATCTCATGCTGTTATATAGAGTATAAATTAAATACATACTTAATCAATATACTGAGACCATGCCTATCATCCGATTTATGACTTTCATATATGACTATATAAGAAACATTTCCCCAAATTGGAAACTGGGGACTCAAACAGGTATTTGTACACCAATGTTCGTAGCAGCCTTATTCACAACAGCCAAAAGGGCATATGGATGAACACACAAACAAAATGCGGTTAAGTACATACAATGAATACTATTCAGACTTAAAAAAGAATAAAATTCTGAAACATGCTACCATCGCAACTTTAACCTTATGTTAAGTGAAATAAACCAGATAACTAGAATAGGTAAATTCATAGAAAGTAGAACAGTGGTTACTAGGGGCTGTTGACAAGAAAGAATAGGTTACTGGGTAGTTTCTATTTAGGATGATGAAAAGGTTTACAACAAGGTAAATAGTGTACTTGTCACAGAATTATACACTGTAAAAAAAGTTATGTAGTTGAAATAATTTTTTCATGTGGTATTTACTCTCAACAGTATGGTTTTTCAACAGTAACTTACTTTTATAGTAATTGTTTTTTAAGGATCACTGGTATCAAACTTGAATATTAAAAAACTACCCTTCAGATGTCCAGCTATTTTGGAATTGTCAAGAATGCAAATAATCCAGACTCCAGTTTTCATCTTCAAGTTTATTATCACGTATCTTGTATCTCTTAAATGTCTAAATCCTAAATGTCCCCCTATCAAAGACATTCCGCTTGTCAGAAACCTACGGCCGTTGACAGTAACTTAAAGCAACAAATACTCCCATTCCTAATAGCAACGAGAGAACTCCGTTGGATGAAAACGATTTGTATTTTTCTTTCTTCGCGTAATCAGTGAGCTGAGGGGACCCCACAGGCACCCAGAATGTGAAGCCCCCGACTCCCCGGCGCGGTGCGGACCGACCGCAGGCGCACCTCGCCGGCACCCACCGCCTTCCGTCGCACGCACCCTGCGCCGCAGGAGGCGGGAGCGCGCACGCGGGCTGACGCCGGCGCGGCGCAGACACACGGGGGCGCGGCCCGCCAGACAGCCGTGACCCCACAATAAGACGGCGAACAGGGCTTTCCCGGCGCCCGGAGATGACAGCGTGCGCCGGGTGCTCGCATGCCACCCCACCCAGTGACCCAGGCCTCGCGCCTGGGGCTTTCCCGCCTTGACTGTTTGGCTCAAGGCCTGGTGCCTGGCGGCGTGCCCTAAGATCGGGACTAGTGCCCGTTCTCTGAGCAGCCCTTCCACGCCCCCTCCTCGAGGCTCGGCCCCGACCGAAGGCGCCGCGCGCACCTTGACGCTCTGGTCGCTGGAGCAAGTCGCCATCCGCCGGCCATGGAAGTCGAAAGAGACATCATGGATGAGATCCTTGTGGTCCGCCGCGATGCTGCGCGCCACAAACATGGCTGCCGCCCGCTCGCGCCTCTTCCGTGCGCCCCTCCCGCCTCGGAGGAGGGCTGTGGCGCGCAACCCGCAGCCCGCCGAGACCCCGCCGCCCGAACGGGCACGGCGCGTGCTGTCCGCGCGCCAGGCCCCGCCCCCTGCCCGTCATGCCCCGCGAAGCCGCCAGTGCGTCTGCGCGGCGCGTCGGTGAGGAGGCTGAACGGCCGGCAGATCCTGCTGTGCGCGCTTGGCGTTACCTGAACTGCAGTGGAAGCAGTGAGGAAATTAAGGACAGTTTAAACGTTTTAAGTGTCAGCCTCAGTGTTCGGCCCTGAATCAATTTGGGGGAACATTTGGATGTATTTCCCTCCAGACAAGTGCCTCGGGAACGGAGCGAATGGCGAAGTCAAAACGTCAGGAACAGAGATCTGTCGGGACAACCGAAGGGCAGACTCTAGGAGATGACGCCACAAGTCCAGGCTCATTGGCCTTAAAAAGAGATCGGGGTGATGAGGTTGAGGGAGAAGAGAGGATATGCAGAGTTTTCAAAATTATTAGTCCTATCTTTCTCCTGATGGGTTGCATCAAGAAGTGTTACACCTGGGAAAACAGCAGATGACCCGAGTTCTTGACCTCTTGCACCCATGTGGGAAACCAAGAAGAAGCTCTTGGCGCCTGGCTTCAGCCTGGCCCAGCTCTGCCTGTTGTGGCCCTTTGGAGCAGGAACCAGAGGGTGGAAGACATTGTTTCTATTCTCTGTCTACCCACTCTCCTCTCTTTGTAACCCTACTTTTTAAATAAATAAATCTAAAACGGGGCGGGGGGGATAACCTGGCTTTTCTGAAATTTTCTTGCTTTTTTTTTTTACACTAAAATTGAGGTTCTGTTGCTAGTTTAGAAGGAGACCCCTTGGGGGCCAGTGTTGTGGCATAGTATGCTAATCCTCCGCCTGCAGCACTGGCATCCCATATTGGCGCCGGTTCTAGTCCCAGCTGCTCCTCTTCCAATCCAGCTCTCTGCTATGGCCTGGGAAAGCAATAGAAGACGGCTCAAGTCCTTGGGACCCTACACCCGTGTGGGAGACTGGAGGAATCTCCTGGCTCCTGGCTTCAGATCGGCGTGGTTCCAGCCGTTGCGGCCATTTGGGGAGTGAACCAGTGGACAGAAGACCTTTCTCTGTGTCTCTCCCTCACTGTCTAACTATACCTCTCAAATAAATAAATAAATAAATAAATAAAATCTTTAAAAAAAAAAAAAAGGAGACTCCAAAGCTGTGAGTTGGAGATAATTAACTTCTATAAGCTATGACCTAAGCTCATTTCATACAAGGTCCAAACAACCTACAAAAAATATATTGTAAAAATTTTAATTAAAATTTTTAAGCAGAGACAGTGAACATATCAGTAGTTGCCAAGACATTATCTGAGCAGCAATGGAGTATTTCATAGGTTATATATGTCATTTTTTTAAAATAGTTTTTACAGCACTTTAAAATTCACAGCAAAGTTGTACAAAGAATAGAGTTCTCATGTACAATCCCACTTACACACATACAAACAGCATCATCCACTATCAACATTCCACATCAGAGTGGTATGTTTGTTTTGACTGCTGTGTTGACAGCGCAAAATCACCAAAGTCTAGTTTACATTAGGGTTCATATTTTAAAAATTTATATTTATTTGAAAAGTAGAGTGACATATCTTTTAATCTACTGGTTGACTCCAAAAAGGGCCCCAACAGCCAGGGCTGGGCCAGGCCAACACAAGGAGCCAGCAATTCAAGTACTTGAGCCATCATCCGCAGCTTCCTGGGTGCATTATTTCAGAGTAGCTGGATCTTCAATGGGCAGGGCACTCAGTGGATGTGAAACCAAGTGGTGGTTTCACCCACTGGACCACAGCACCCGCCCCTAGAGTTCTTTCTTGATGTTCATTCTGTGGACTTGAGCAAATGTATAATGATGTGTATCCACCATTATAGTATCATACAGAATAGTTTCACTGCCCTGAAATTCCTTTATGAGCCCATACATCCTTCTCCTAGTCTCTGGCAACCACTGATTCCACTGTCTCCATGGTTTTGCCTTTTCCAGAATATCATACAATTAGGATCATGGAGAATGTAGACTTTTCAGATTGGCTTCTTTCACTTAGTGGTATACATTTTAGGTTCCTCCTCTTGATAGCTCTTTTTTTTTTTTGGGGGGGGGGAAGACAGAGTGGACAGTGAGAGAGAGAGAGAGAGACAGAGAAAAAGGTCTTCCTTTGCTGTTGGTTCACCCTCTAATGGCCGCCACGGCCGGCGCACCGCGCTGATCTGATGGCAGGAGCCAGGTACTTATCCTGGTCTCCCATGGGGTGCAGGGCCCAAGGACTTGGGCCATCCTCCACTGCACTCCCTGGCCACAGCAGAGAGCTGGCCTGGAAGAGGGGCAACCGGGACAGAATCTGGCACCCCATCAGGGACTAGAACCCAGTGTGCCAGCGCCGCAAGGCGGAGGATTAGCCTAGTGAGCCACGGCGCCGGCTGATAGCTCTTTTTAAAAAAAATTTTTTTTTATTTATTTGAAAGAGATCTGTATACTGGTTCACTCTCCAAATGTCTGCAAAATCCGGGACTAAGACCAGATTGAAGCCAGGAGCTGGGAACTCAATCCAGGTCTAATATGAGTGGCAGGGACCAAACTACTTGAGCCATCAGCTATAGGAACCTGGAATGGAAAGCGGAGCTGAGATTCAAAGCCAGACACTCTGCTATGGGTCATAGGGAACCTATCCAGCATCATAACTGCTGCACCAAACATCTGTCCCTCATTTATTTTAGTGCTGAGTATATTTTCTGAATTGCATACCACAGTTTATCCATTCACATGCTAAAGAACGTCTTGGTCACTTCCCAAGTTTTGAGAATTATGAATAAAACTGCTATAAACAGTTAATAGTAAATAATAAAATTGTTTTTGTGTGTGTAGACAGTTTTCAGCTCCTTTGGGTTAAATACCAAGAAGCCTAATTGCTGAATTAAATGGTAAGATTAGTTTTGTGCAGTTTTAATCATTGTAGTCAAATAGTAAAATGCCACATGCTGTGTGATTTTTTTTTTAGGTCAGGATTGCTTTGGCTAATGGAGTATTTTGTGGTTCCATACAACTTTTCTAATTTTGTGGAAAATGTCATAATTTTGACAAGGATTCCATGGAATCTAAAAGACACTTTGGGTAGTATGGATATTTTAACAATTACTGATTTTTTTTCAATCCATGAATATAGGATGCCTTTTCATTTCTCTGTGATCTCTTCAGTTTTTTTCTTTTCTTTTTTTTTTTTTTTAATTTTTTGACAGGCAGAGTGGACAGTGAGAGAGAGAGACAGAGAGAAAGGTCTTCCTTTGCCGTTGGTTCACCCTCCAATGGCCGCCGCATCCGAAGCCAGGAGCCAGGTACTTATCCTGGTCTCCCATGGGGTGCAGGGCCCAAGCACTTGGGCCATCCTCCACTGCACTCCCGGGCCACAGCAGAGAGCTGGCCTGGAAGAGGGGCAACTGGGACAGAATCCGGCACCCTGACCGGGGCTAGAACCCAGTGTGCCGGCGCCGCAAGGCAGAGGATTAGCCTAGTGAGCCGCGGCGCCGGCCAGAAATGCTTTCTTGATTTCTTTTTAAGATAACTCACTATTGGATATGGCAATAGTTGTATGTTGACCCTTGCCATAGATAAGCCTTGCTCTGGGGAAACTACCTTCATGATCATGGTATCTCCCCTGCCAGGTAAGTATTATATATGTTGACATTGTGTCCTACAATTTGCTTGAATCCATTTATTTTAATCTTTTTTGTGGGGAGCAACTCGGACTAGACTAAGTTACTGGAATTAAGACTTATTCTATGCATCTGCTCTCCCACAATATGGCGCTGGGAGAGGAGAAAACAGCTTCTACACAGCTGCCTCCAGTTCAGCCAATAAACTGTGGGACTTGCTCCTGATTGGAGAGCAGCGTACTCGGCGTGTGGGCAGCCGAGTTAGGATTGGCGGAGGAGGACTATAAAGGAGGAGAGAGACGGCATGCACCAGGAACATCTAAGGGGAACACCTGTGCAGCCCCCGAGAGAGCCGGCCGGCGGTGTGCCGCTCCCCCGCGGAAGTGGGGAATGTGGCAGGGGGAACCGCCCTTCCACGGAGGTGGAAGGGACAGTAGCCAACCCGGGAAGAACCAGCAGCAAACCCGGGGAGGGCCGAGCAGACGAAAGAACAGCGCAGGGTCCTGTGTCATTCCTCCACGAAGACGGGGAGCGACATTTTTAAGAAGATTTATTTATCTGTTTGACAGGAGAATGACTGAAAACAAAGAGAATGATCTTCCCTCTACTGGTTCACTCCTCAAATAGCCACAGCAGGGTGAGTTGCTCCAGGCCAAAGCCAGGAGCCTGTAACTGCATCTGAGTCTCCCACATGGGTGGCAAGGGCCCAGGCACTGAGTCTATCCTCTGTTTTCCAGGCACATCAGCAGGAAGAGCTACATCTGGAGCTGAGCAACCAGGACTAGAATCAGCACCTTGAATGGGATGCCAATGTGACAGGCAGTGGCTTAACCTGCTGTACCACAATGCCAGCCACCTAATAATTTTTTGATGAAATCTTTGGAGTTTTCTTTATGTAAGATCATATACAACTGTGCCAGTGTCTTGCAGGGTTTCCCTGTAGTTTTCATCTAGTAACTTGATGTTATCAGGTCATAGATTTAGATCCTTGACCCATTTTGAGTTGATTTTTTATAATGTATAAGATAGGGGTCTTGTTTCATATTTTTGCACATGAAAATCCAATTTTCCCAGCACCGTTGTTGAAGAGACTATCCTTTCTCCATGGATTGATTTTAGATAATTTGTCACCTATTGGTTAGTTGTAGCTACATGGATTAATTTCTGGGTTTTCTATTCTGTTCCATTGGTCTACATGTTTATCTTTGTGCCGGTACCAAGATGTTTTGATTATAACTTCCCTGTAGTATGTTTAAATCTGGGATTGTGATGCCACCAGCTTTATTTTTGTTGTTTAAGATTGCTTTAGCTATTCAGGATCTCTTGTGCTTCCATATGAATTTTAACATCATTTTTTCTAGATCTGAGAAAGTCACCTTGGTATTTTGAATGGAATCTCAATCTGTAAATGCCTTTTGGTACTATGGCACTTGGATGATACTAATTCTTCCAACTCATGATTATAGAAATTTTTCCATTTTTTGTGTGTGTCTTCTATTTATTTCTCTAATATCTTCTAATTTTCATTGTAGAGATCTTTCACATTTGTGGTTAAATTTATTCCAAGGTATTTATGTTTTTTGTAGCAGTTGTGAATGGGACTGATATTGTAAGTTCTTTCTCAGTCATTGCATTATTTGTATATACAAAGGGTATTGATTTTTGTGTGTTGATTTTATATCCTGCAACTTTACCAACCTCTCATGAGTTCTAATAGTCTCTTAGTGGAGTCTTTTGGTTCCCCTACGTATAGAATCATGTCATCTCCAAACAGGGATAATTTTACTTCCTCCTTTTCAGTTTGTATCCCTCTGATTTCTTTTTCTTGCTTAATGGCTCTGGGCTAAAATTTCCAGGACTATATTGAATATCGATGGTTAAAATGGACATCCTTGGCATGGTTGCTGTGGCTAGTAAGTTAAGCCTCCACCAGCAGTGCCAGTATCACATATGGGCGCCAGTTTGTGTCCTGGCTGTTCCTCTTCTGATCCAGCTCTCTGCTGGTGGCCTGAAAAAATCAGTGGAAGATAGCCCAAGTTCTTGGGCCCCTGCACCCATGTGGGAGACCCAGAAGAAGCTCCTGGCTTTGGATTGATGCAGCTCCAGCTGTTGTGGCTATTTGAGGAATGCACCAGCGGATGGAAGACCTGTCTGTCTCTCCCTCTCTGTCTGTAACTCTGCCTCTCAAATAAGTATTTTTTTTTTAATGTGGGTATCCTTTTCTGGTTCTGGATCTTCCAGCTTTTCCTCATTCAGTATGATGACCCCTGCGGGTTGTCATATATTGCCTTGATTGTGTTGAAAAATGTTCCTTCTATACCCAATTTGCTTAAGGTTTTTATCATGAAAAGGTATTTTTCTCAAATGGTTTCTTTGCATCTGTTGATATAATTATTATTTTTATTCTTCAATTTTTTAATATGATGTATCACATTTATTGATTTGCATATGTTGAACCATCCCTGCATAGTAAGAATAAATCCCAGTTGGTCCAGGTGAATGATCTTTCTGGTGTGTTGTTGGATTTGATTACCTACTATTTTGTTGAGGATTTTTGCATCTGTGTTCATCAGAAATATGGCTATAGTCTTTTTCTGATCACTTTTTTTTTTTTTTGCTTTGGAATTAAGGTGATAACTGGCCTCATAGAAGGAGTTTGGGAGGATGGCCTCCCTTTCAACTGTTTTGAATAGTTTGAGCAGGATTGGAATTAGTCTTTGCTTAAAAGGTTTGGTGGAATTCAGCAGTAAAGCCATCTAGTCCTCGGTTTCTCTTTGTTGGGAGGGTCTTTATTACTGATTCAACCTCAAATTGGTTATTGGTCTGTTTAGGTTTTCTATGTCTTCATGACTCCATTTTTGTATAATGTATGTTTCCAGGAATCTATCCATTTCTTACAGATGTTCCAATTTGTTGGCACATAGCTGTTTGTGAAAATTCCTGATGATTATTTTTATTTCTGTGGTATTCATTGAAACATCTCTTTTTTTCATCTCTGGTTTTATTAACTTGTGTCTTTTTTTGTTTATTTTTTCAAAAAAAAAAAAACCACAGCTCTTCTTTTCACAATATTTTGTATTCTTTATTATTTCAATTTTTTGTTTGTTTGTTTTAGGTAGAGTTACATACAGAGAGAAAGAGACAGAGAGAAAGGTCTTCCTTCCCTTGGTTCACCCCCAAAATGGCTGCCACAGCCAGTGCTGCGCCAATCCGAAGCCAGGAGCCAGGTGCTTCCTCCGGTCCTCCCACATGGATGCAGGGTCTCAAGCACTTGGGCCATCCTCCACTGCCTTCCCGAGCCACAGCAGAGAGCTGGACTGGAAGAGGAGCAACCAGGACTAGAACCTGGTGCCCATATGGTATGCCGGCGCCACAGGTGGAGGATTAATCAAGTGGGCCACAGCGCCGGCCCTATTTCAATTTTGTTTATTGTCTGATTTTAATTATTTCTTTCCTCTTACTAATTTTGGGTTTGATTTGTTCTTTTTTTCTAGGTCCTTGAAATTCACTAATAATTCATTTATTTGATGTCTTTCCAGTTCCTTTTTATGGGCACTAATTGCCGTAAACTTCCCTCTTAACATTGCTTTTCCTGTATTCCATAAGTTTTGATATGTTGGTTTGTCATCTTCATTCATTTCTAGGAATTTTTTATTTCCTTTTTGATTTCTTCTATGATCCACTGTTCATTGAGTAGTAAATTGTTCAGTCTACATTGTTTCTTAGGTTGTTAATTTCCAGCTTAATTCCATTGTGGTCAGAAAAGATACACAGTATGATTTCAGTTTTTTTAATTTGTTGAGACTCACTTTATGGCCTAGCTTATGGTATTATCCTAGATAAAGTTCCATGCACTAATGAAAAGAATGTGTATTCAGCACTTATGGGATGAAAGGTTCTGTAGATATCAGGTCCATTTGGTCCATAGTATAGATTAGCTCTGTTGTTTCTTTGTTGATTTTTGTGTGGTTGATCTGTCCATTGATGAAAGTAGGGTGTTGAAGTCTCCCATTATTCTTGTATTGGAATCTGTGTCTCCCTTTAGATCCATTAACATTTGTTTTAAATAGCCAGACACCCTGGCATTGGGTGCATACACATTTACTCTAGCCTCATCTTCATGTTGAATTGATCCCTTAATCATTACATAATGCCCTTCTTTGTTTCTTTTTAATAGTTTTTGTGTTGAAGTCTATTTTGTCTTATATTAGGGTGGCTATACCTGTTCGTTTTTGCTTTCCATTAACATGGAATATCTTTTTCCATCCTTTCACTTTCAGTCTGTGTGTATCTTTGTTGATCAGGTGTGTTTCTTGTAGGTAGTAAATAAATAGGTTTTGTGTTTTAATCTATTCAGCCAGTCTATTTTACTTGGAGAACTTAGGCCATTTACATTCAAGATTATTATTGATAAGCAATGACTTGGTCCTGCTATTTTCCATAAATATTCCTAGTGTTGATCACATGATTTTGATCATTCTGTTGATACTGCATATCACATTTCTTGATTTCCATATTTTGAACCATCCTTTCATCCTAGTATGAATCCCACTTGATCATGGCAACTAATCATTTTAATGTACTGTTGGATTCAGTTTGCTAGTATTTTGTGGAGGATTTTTGCATCTGTGTTCATTTTAATCTCTTCCTTATTTGATTCACTTAGCTTCAGAATTGATTATCTTGGGCAGATTTTTTTTTATTATTATTTAATTTTATCAGCTGCACAGGCATTTAGCTTACTGGTTGAGATGCCTGTGTCCCTCATTGGACAGCCTGAGTTTTATTCCTGGCTCTAGTTCCTAACTGCAGCTTCCTGCCAGGGCAACCCTGAGAGACACCACTCATACCTCAAGTGGTTGGGTTCCTGCCACCAACATGTGAGACTTGGATTGTGGTTTCAGCTCCCAATTTTGGCCCTGTTCCAGCCCCAGATACTGCAAACACTTTGATGAACGAACAAGAGTCTGGGAGTCCCCTATCCCCCCTTCTCTGCCTCTCAATTATATAAAAAAATTTTTTTTGAGATTTATTTGAAAGAGTAACAGAGAGAAGGAGAGGCAGAGAGAGAGAATCTTCCATCCACTGGTTCAGTCCCCAAAAGGTTGCAACAGCCAGGGCTAGGCAGACCAAAGCCTGGGGCTTCATCCGGGTCTCCCACATGAATACAGGGGCCCAAGTCCTTGGGCTATCTTCTGCTGCTTTCCCAGGCACATTAGCAGGGAGCTGGATCAGAAATGGAGCTACTGGGACTTGAACTGGCACCCATATGGGATGCTGGCACTGCAGGTGGCTTAACCCACTATGCTACAATGTCAGCCCCTATAAAACATTTTTAATAAAAATTATATCATCTGCAAATAATGTTTAATATACTTTGTATCAGTCAGTAATAATTTTAATAAGTATCCCCTCCATTTAAAATAATTTAATATAGAAAATTGGCTATAAATATATTGGAAGGGTTAGCTAAGAGCAAAAAGAGATCATGTGAGATTATCCAGAGATAAGTAACTACAGGAACCCCCCCCACACACACACACCCCGGCAACCTCTTTATGCTGGCAGAATGAAATGGAAAATAGTTTTACCCAAGGCTAACCAGCACTGGCCCTCTCAGGTTGCTGATAGTGAAACATTTACCACCAATAGACAGGAAGCCAGGAGTTAGTTAGTAACAAAGGAGCAAGGGCCCACCCGCTCTGGTCAGCAGGTAATCCTGGAGCTTTGCTGCTGTGCTGAAGCCAGAGCTAGGTGCTGCTTTTAAATACCACTCGGGGCTGGTGCTGTGGCGCAGCAGGTTACCGCCCTGGCCTGAGGCGCCGGCATATGGGCACCAGTTCTAGTCCCAGCTGCTCCACTTCCCATCCAGCTCTCTGGTGTGGCCTGGGAAGACAGTAGACGATGGCTCTTGGCCCTTGGGCCCCTGCACCCATGTGTGAGACCCGGAAGAAGCTCCTGGCTCCTGGCTGTGGATTGGTGCAGCTCCACCTGTAGTGGCCAATTGGGGAGTGAACCAGCAGATGGAAGACTTCTCTCTCTCTCTCTGCCTCTCCTCTGTGTAACTCTGACTTTCAAATAAATAAATGAATCTTAAAAAAAAAATACCACTCAGTAAGAAGCCATTTTCCCACTGCCAGCACAACTGCAGCTTTCTGAGGTGGTTCCATAGAGGGGAAAGGTTTTTCTCTCCCACATTCCATTCTCATACCTGTGTCTCTCATAGGCAGAACCTAACTAGAAAAAGAGAATTGGGGCCAGCATTGTGGTGTAGCAGATAAAGCCACTGGCTGCAATGCCAGCATCCCATATGGGTGCTGGTTCAAGTCCTAGCTATTCCTCTTCCAATCTGGCTCCCTGCCAATCACCTGGGAAAGACAATGGAGGATGGCCCGTGTTTGGGCCCCTGGCTTCAGCCTGACCCAGTCCTAGCCATTGTAACCATCTGGAGAGTGAACCAACAGATGGAAGGTATCTATCTCCCTCTCCCTTCTGTAACTCTATCTTTCAAGTAAATAAATCTTAAAAAAGAAGAAGAAGAAGAAGAAGAAGCAGAAGTAGTAGCAGAGAAAGAGAGTTTCCAACTGTTGGTTCATTTCCAAATGCCCACAGTGGCCAGGGCTGGACTAAGGTTGAAGCCTAAAGCTAGGAACTCAATCCAGTTCTCCCATGTGGGTGGCAGATACCCAACTACTTCAGTCATCACTGCTATTTCCCAGCCTCTACACTGGTAGGAAGCTGGAGTCAGGAGCCAGAGCTGGGAATCAAACTCAGCTTCTCTGATTTGAGACATGAGCATTTTAACTGCTAAGCTAAACACCTTATTACCTAAGCTAAACACCCTTATTACCTCTTTCCTTGACATTTTATTCTTAATGAAATATAATATACATTCCAAACTGTATTTATTTCACAAGTACACAACTCACTGGATTTTCACACACTGAACACAACTGTCCAACCACCATCAGATCACGAAGTCCTGCTTGGACTTATGGTCATTAAGCTCCTGCCCCCAGGGGTGAGCACCATCCTCATTCCTAAGCCCATGGGGTGATATGATGGCTAATTTTTTGTCACCCCGGGCAAACTCTGGTGGCAAGTTGTTGGTTCAAACACCAACTTTGATGTTGCTGTGGAGGCACTATTTAGATGTGATTAATATCTACAGTCATTCTGTCTCTACCTAAAGGAGCCTCATTCATTTGATTGAAGGCCTGAAGATTGAAAACGCAGGTATCCCCAGCAAAGAGAAGGAATTCTGCCTGAGTTTCTAACATGCCCGTCTACCCTGTAGATTAGACTCTAAACTGCAGCATCAGTGCCCACTGCTTTGTCTTTAGGATTGTTCACTTAACCAGCACCATAATGACATGAGCCACTTGCTTAAAATAAATCCCTTTTGTGTCCCTATAGATAAGAGATATGTGTTATCATCTGTTCTGTATCTGGAGCACCCAGACTCAAATTTTGAGCCTTGATGGTTCTAGAGGAACAGAATCTTAAGGGTGAATTTTCTGAATAGATTCTGGCTTCTGGAATTGATTTCTGGTTAGATTTAAAGACACTAATG